ACCCCGCTCTCGATATATATATAAATATGTATAATAGAGAGATAGTGAAGGTGTATATCTAGAACTCACGTTCAAACAAGACTTTCATTTGTAAAGAAGTATAATTTTTTTTTGTTAGATCTTGAGATATATAGTCACTTTTAGCTATATATATATATATATATGTATGTCTATATATATATATATATGTATATATATATATATATATATATATATATATATATATATATATATATATATATATATATATATATATATATATATATATATATATATATATATATATATATATATATATATATATATATATATATATATATATATATATATATATATATATATATATATATATATATATATATATATATATATATAACCACTTAAGTATAGCACACAATTCACAAAATTATTATAGCATCATATTATATATTTATATGTCATAAATTACACACACAACAGCACACACACACGGCACACACATATACACATAACATGCAGCCCCCAAAACATACTTAAAACGGCAGTAAATTATCAAAACCATGCCCTTAAAGCACCAACATCTTTATCTTTTCATTAATGGGATTTCTCCCACTTTTATTCATTAAATGTATTAAAAAATCTTACAGCCCCTTAACATAGTTTAACTGCAGATTTTTAACCATAAATTCACTTTCTCACAATTAATACTGAAGGCATAATGATTAAAACACAAAAGTTCCATTTATGACACATGCACAACCAATATATCGAATTAATAGCAAATGGCCTCTAAAAATTCTCAAATTTGATTATAGGATGCCCAACTGACTAAATGAACAGATTAAAAACGAATTTTGCAGTTTCCTCAAAAATCGAATTTAGAAAAATTAAAATACTCAGCAAGTAGTGTTGAAGCCAAAAAGTGATTTTCCAGCAAATATTAATTCCAAACTATGGCCGAATAGAAAATAACAAAATTCCACTTACTCCTAATGGGATTTTGAAGATTCAAACATTTTTCATGCTGAAATTTCGAAAAATTGCAGATTAGCCCTAAAGATTCATAGGTCTACACATGCAACCCCAAAAATCTTGAAAACTCACTTTCTATTTCCAAAATTCCCAAAAATTCGAAATATTAAATCTTTAAACAAAAAATACTTAGATTCATAGATTATAACATGGATTAGATATGCAAGAACACAAATATCAAGATTAGCACAAGATTTCGGATTTTACACAAAAAGCCCTAATTTTCGAAAAGTGAGGAAATCTTTTAAGTAGTTTTAAAAATCCTTTTCCATACTATAATACCCTTTAATTGCAGCAAGAAATTCGAGATTTCTTACCTATCAAAGAGTGTTGGCCGAAGAAAGAAAAACCTTCAAAAGAAAAGAGGGTTTTTAGAGGAAGAAAAGGAGGATGAAGAGAAATGAAGAAAACGAAAATACAATGTTACTTTCTTCAAGAAGTGGCTCCAAGATTGAACCAAGCTAGTTGAATGGAGAAGGTAAGAGCTTTGATATCAAGTTTGGAGGAGTTTAGATCTCCTGTAAGAGGGCAAGTTTTTTTGATGGTGTTCTTGGCATATTCAAGGGTGGAACTTATATTGGGGATTTGCATTTTGATTTCTATATTTTTTTCTTGAACAAATTTGAGGGTGGTGGTGCTTCGGTGGTGATGGTGAAGGAGAGACAAGTGTGGAGTGAGGTGGAGAGAGAAGAAGAAGGAAGGGTGTCTCTTCAGATGACTAATCCACATTGAGTGTTGGATTAGTGTAAATCATCACATTTGGCCAAGTGTACAAGCATGCTTCCTTTTCTAATTTTATTATCTAATAAAAAATTCACTTATCTCTCTCATACACACACAAAAACCGAACACACACACACACACACACACACACACACACACACACACACACACACACACATATATATAGATATATATATATATATATATATATATATATATATATATATATATATATATATATATATATATATATATATATATATATATATATATATGTGTGTGTGTGTGTGTGTGTGTGTGTGTGTGTGTGTGTGTGTGTGTGTGTGTGTGTGTGTGTGTGTGAGAGAGTGTGTGTGAGTGAGAGAGAGAGAGAGA